GCCTGGGGCCGGGCACGGACGCCAGCCCACCGCGTGCAGTAAACTCCTACGTGGCCCTTGAGTGCCCCTAGCAGCTCTGCAGCTCTCAGGGTGTCCCCGCGAGAGACTTCCCACGAAACGTTCAGAAAAGCCCGCTGAGCCGCGCGGTCATTAGTCACCCAGGTATTTACACTGTTTTTTCCCATTTCCTTTCTCTCTTGGCCTCCGTGGTCAGTGGTATAAAATTCCTGGGAACTCCCACCTAAATACCAGCTTCCTGTTTATGCTCCCAGCGGCTTTCATGTTTAGATGTTAAAAACGGTAACCAACAACTGCAGAGGTCTGCAGGTGAAAAGAAAAAGAAGAAGGAGAAGAAAAGTCCCCCGAAAGGAGCCGGTCGGAGGTCCGGGTTTATTTTTAATTACTTTTGTCAAAATCACGGGGGCCTGAGAAGGTAAAATGGAAATGTAATCGAATGCCTAAGATCTTGGTTCCGTGTCACTCGGCTCTTGTGTCTGCAGGAACGTGTACAATACGGTACAATAAAGTATGAATGTTTGTATTTCCAGCCGCTGAAGCCCCGCCCGACTTCCATGCGGCACGGCACTCTTTTGTTATAGAAGGTTAAAGTTCACTCATTAGCGCAACCCGCGCCCCCGTGTGTGTGCCTGGCACCTCTTCATGGCTATTCTTCATTAAGTTCTGCTGCAGAACGTTGAATTTATGTAGCCCCTGAGCTGCAGCCTCCCCGACTTGGAAAAAAAAAGCCCTAGAGGTCAATTCCTCCAGCCCTTTTCTGGTACAGAATTTCCCGTCTGGCTCCCAGGGAGTGGACAGCTGTCCTCTGATAGAATCCCTCTAGAACTGGGACCCTCCCTACTTCCGAAGATAGCATCACGTCTTGACCATCTTATTTTTTAATAAAGGTTTTCTATATATAAAACAGGGATCTGTCTCCACTTACAGAGTCATGCAGAATAAATCTAATTTCTCTTCCCTATGACATTACCCTTCAAATATTTGGAGACAGCTCTCATGTCCCCTCAGTGTCTTCTCCCGGCTAAACATCTGCAGATCCTTCAGCTATTTCTCCCGTGGGCAGAGTCTCCCACACCACCGCTGCGATATCTAGAGTTGCTCCAGCTAGCAAAAGTCCCTCTGAAGCCAAAGGCGTGATTCAGTTCATGCCGAACCCAGCTTTCGGGACAGCCCAGGAGGTTTAAAACCAAACGGAATCAGTCAGGTCCAATTCAAGTTACTCAGACAGAGCTACATTTTGGTTTTTGGAGTTAGTGCTTTTCCACTCTCAGTTAGGAAGGACAGGCCCAGCTATGCCGTGTAGAGACAAGGAAAAGCCCTACTGCGTGCCAGTCTTCCATGTTTGGAAAAGCCCTCTGAACAGGTATTATTTACAAGCCCAGAGGTCAAATAATCCACACAAGGCCAGGTCGCTAAATAGGTGACAGAGTGAGGTCTGTAACCTGCTCTTGCATTATACAAGCTCCTGCCATGAAGCCCTATGGCTGCAACTGAGGTTCTGAATTTCCTTTTCAGCATATTCTGCACTACACAGCTTTAATTCCAGGCTAGTGTATATATCATGTTTATATAGCGACAAGGACTTTTGAAATACGAGTTAAGAACTTTAGGGAGGATAAAAAAGTTCTTTTTGGAAGCAAATGAAACAGAAATTTCCAGTTAAAGCCAAAAGTCATCCTGAACATGCTTTTCTTCCAGTGGCGTTACTTAACAGCAAAGTGTTATATTACCCTTGAATTTCCTGCCTGGGCTGAGGGTAGGCCAGGCCCTTGATGCTATTTAAATGTTTCCATGTATTCCAGCTCTATCACCAGCAGGGCCACCGCCCTTTGCTCGCGCCTGCTCTCCAGCGTGTCCGTTAGTCAGGGAGGGAAGAGTATGTTTCCCAGGCACACACTGTAATTTTTTCCCAGTGTTGGTAAGCTTGCCAGAACAAAACTAAAACCACAAAAAGAAGATTTAGATCAGCCTCTTGATCGCCCTGCTGCTATTCTGCAGTTTTGGGAGGGCTAAACATCAAACACTTGCAACTGTCATCTACACATTCCTTTGCAGAGTAAAGAAGCATTGGCATGAACCCCTGCTAGACTATTTTCTGCTCCAAAATGTTGGAAACTCTTCCTCTCCAGGAAAATACTGCACAAGAGGCACCGTGAATTCATGGAGCTGGTTTTGAGGAAAGCTGTTACTCTCTGCAGTGAACCATCCTGTGCTGACATCCGGCCAGGTGGGCTCTATACCTTAGCAGGGAGGTTGCTTAGATGTTTAGTTGCTTCTGATTTGTTCGCTATGATGAACAGAGCCTGAGACACCTGAGAGATACTTTATCTTAGTATGCAATCTGCAGTAGCCCTTGAAATAACTGCCATATTGACCTGTTTGTTTTCTGCTTTATTGTTTGTACATCTGTCTATGGTCCGCTCCCGTTCTTGTGCATGACTAGTAACCTCATCCGCCTTGTTTATGACCCAGCCTGTACTAGGTCCTCAGGAAAGACTTTTTAAAATGAAAGAATATATCTTTTGTACAAACACTTTGCTCTTATATTTGTATCTTGTTATAAGTGAATTCACAGAGATAGACAGTAGAGTGGTGGGTGCCGGGGTTGGGAAGAAGGAACACCGAGGAGATGGCATTTCCTGGGGACACAAGCTCAGTCGGGGAAGACAAAATGAGCTCACCAGATGGACGGTGGTGATGGCTGGTGCATCTACTTGATGCCATCAAACTGTACTCTTAGAAATGTTAGGGTGTTTTATCAGCCTGGGAACATATAAATTGTTATGCTAACTTTACAAAAGTATATCTGAGATATACTTGTAGATAAATGCCTGGACCTGGGTATGTAAACGAATTAATTTTTAAAAAATATAAAACAAAAATAAAAATTACTTTATGTACAATTATAAAATGGTTCACATGGTCAATTTTAGCACAATAAAAATAAATTCTTTGATTTGGAACCCTCAGGCTAATGATAAATGTACGTATTTTAAATCTTGGTCTGTGTCCCTACACTTCTTTCCAGATGGTTGTCAGCACACATCCCAACCATCCGTGTGAGAGGAGGACACTTCCCAATGCCACCAAACATTTGGTTTTCTCATTCCCTTTGTTCTTTGTATTTGATAGGCAAGCACACACATGTACTTTATCCTTTTATTTGGATCATTATACTTGTATTGAAGGTGAATATCTTTTCATGTATTTATTATTTCTTATTTGTGAGGAATCTTTGTCATTTCCCACTTTTATTGGGCTATTTGTTTCTTTGGATTGATTTGTATGAGTTCTGTATAGTAAAGATGCTAACTCCTGGTCCATTCTGTCCTTTGCAAGTAACTTTTAGAGGTGGGTAGAAGAGGAAGGAAGGAAGAATGGCAGGGAGGAGCACCCTGCAGACAGTGGGCCGAGGGGCAGTGACAGCTCTGTGGCTTGCTCTTACTGGACGGGAAAGCTGTTTCTAGATCAACAAACAGTATCCACTCCTTTGTTTAATGAGCTTGTTTTGATGTGAATGTTACATACTGGGAATCAGAAGTGGGCAGGACAGACTTGATTCTTTGCCCATAAAACAAAAGAATGAAATGTTGAACCATGGCAGGTGGTATCCAGGTGTTCTGGGACAGGAGATGGTCAATATGAAGGAGCCATCATGGAAGGCCATTTTACATTTGATGTCAGAGATGACCTCTCTAAATCCATTAATTCGACTTCAATATGAACTTTTTCTTTCCATCTCAGAAATATGTGGAAAGGTTTCTACCTGTAGTTCCTACATTTGTGAGTTGTCTCATGACGAAAGAAAAAGTCACAAGGCAGTGAGTTAAAGAATCTTGAAAAATAGAGCATCGTTGCTCCCAGTCGTATTTTCCTCTTCTTTTGCCCTTTGACACCTTTTACTTGATTGCTTTTAGGCCTGGATTAATTTTGTCTGGCTGAGGCCCACGCTAATTTGCATGGCTATTCTACACACAGGTTGAAGCCATGAAGACAGCAGGCCGGCCTGAATGCACAAGCCAATTCACATCCATCAAGCGGCCCAGAGCTCAGTATACTTACTGTGGAAGAATGGAGGATAATGAAAAATCCTACCACGACCTGAAATCGTGACTCACGAGGGTTGCCCTGTGGTCAGGCCTATGGGTAAACCATTCCATCATCCTTATGTTCCACTTGTCAAACACTTGCAGATTCCGTTCTGGGCTTTGGACCTGTAATAATGGCCCTCATTGTCCCCCGAACCATAATTTAGCCTCAGATTACATAATTAATTGCGTTAGGTGGGGTGGCGTCTTTCATTTTATACTCTCATCTGTGATGTTAACATGAATCCTTGTTTTGTTTGATGATGCCGGATTTTGCGGAGCCACACCAGTTGATAAAATAATCAAGTGGTGTTGTCATATTTAACTGTTATCCTGAATGAGTAGCTAGAAGGCTTGGTTATGTCTAAATGAAAATCCAGGATGGAAGAGTCTTCTCTTTCAGTCTTGAACGTTCATTTTGTTCATTCACTCAGTAGACCCACTTTTTCTTACTTTCTTAGAATTTATTTGTGTTAGTACCTGTTTGCAGTACAGACTGATTACATTCATCACAGAGTTGGTCCATGTACGTGACGCGCCTTAATTTTTTTACTTCCCCTTCCCCTCTCCTCCCTTGCCCCTCCCTCCATCTCTTGGTCCCCTCCGTAAAAAAGATCTATCTCCCTATTTCTTATTCTGTCTTTTGTTTTGCCCTTTCAGTTATTTATAGTTTGGGTTTCTCATGTAAGAGAAAGCATGCAATTTTTAAGCTTGCATGTCTGATTTATTTCACTTAACATTATTGTCTCAAGTTGCATCCATTTTCCTACAAATGACTCACATTGATCCGTCTTTATGGCAGAGCAGTGCTCCGTTGTGTTTAAATACCACATGCTCTTCCTTCATGCATCTGTTGATGGACATTTAGGCCACTTCCAAGGTTTAACTGTTATGGTTTGTGTTGCTATAAACATGGGTATGCGTGGATCACTGTAGTACGATGAACAGACAAATATTTACTTCAGGTAGGCTTAACATGCCTTAGGAACTGTGCTAAGTTTGAGGCAAGCAACATGCTGTCTAGCCTCAAAAACTGCAGGCCCTCCTTGGGCAGAGTACAGAGGGCAGTTACATCCCAGTCATCTGGGCAACATTATAAAGACACTCAAGCCTGCCCACCTCATGCCAAGCTCACCTGAGGTCCTGGCTCTCAGGCTCAGAGTGAGGTCTACAACAGACATTTTGAAAACACTCCTGAGGGAATTCTGATTACACCCTGGGGTGATGGGCTGCAGGTGTGGGGAGCTTCCCAGAACTCTGTAGAACTCAGCCTCTTTCTGTGGGGCATCAGAACTCTCAGGCCCTCTTTGGCTGATCCTGGGCTAGCCGTAAAGCTAGGCTCCTGACCAAGGCAGCCCACCTGTTTTGGAAGGGTTGTTCCCAGTTGCGGGGTGAGGCCTGCTCTTGCTGCCGATTCCCATGCCAGCTCTGGACAGGTAGGTCTCTACTGTACTTCGTCCTGGGCTATGATGAGCTCCTCCGTCTACCCTGAGCTTACCTGGTCACCTGTCCTCCAAACCAGTGCTTTGGTTTGGCCTCACATGCTGGTGTCTGTTGGGACCCTGCAGTTCCTCCTCATGCCTGTCTGATTCCCCTTTGTTAAGTGGAGACACAGGGCACCCAGGTCACCAGTGGCAAACTCCTGGGCACCTGGGCTGAGCTCACTGCTCCTGTGGTCTGGGAGTCAACAAAGTGGTCAGAAAAGTAGCTCTTATGGAAGTGTTGCACCAAAGAAAGGAGGCAAGCAAGGGGACTCAGCTACTCAGAGGCCAGGAGAGAAGGAAAACTCAGCACAGTGTCCTAGGGAAAGAGAAAGAAACCTCTCTGTTGTCAGAGGAGGTTCCAGTTGGAGGGTGGGGGTGGGGCCAGCTCTTCTGGCCAAGTGCCCAAGGGAACAGGAAGGGACAACAGGGCATGAAAGTTCTGGCTGCTGCCCGCCATGGCCTCTCTACTTGGGCTCCACTTAAGCTGCTCTGGGTGCCATCCTCCTCCAGCTCTGGTCCAGCTCTGTCCTGTGCAGCCCATCCAGGAGTGCATGCGTCCAAGCTCTGGCAAGCTGTGCAGACACCCACGGGAACATCGCCAAATACCATTTTTGAGTGACGGCAGTATTTTGCCTCATGCAAAGCCCATGGCCGGCTTATGAGTTCTGGTTCTCCTTTTAAATTCCCAATGTCAAGTCTGATTATTTCAGATGTGATATTCGGCCTGAGTATGTTTGACATTAGTGACAAGTCAGAGAAGATATTTTCAGTATTTTACAATTATGTTTTAATGTCACATGGGTAACACCTGGCCCCCCGACTCACAACTTTTACTAAATGAACAAGCTTTATAACAAAGTACAGCCAAATGTAACCAGGACAATAAGTTAACATGTTTTTATTTTTTATCAGGTTGTGCCCATTTGTGACACCTTTTGTTGCATATAATTGCTGCACACCAGTCTTGTTAGTTCATTCCTTCGCTGTTACTGGGCCCTTGCTCCCCAGCATCACCTGCCGTGCTTCCCAAACTGGTCCCGCCCAGACCTCCCACTCATCCCTGTCATGTCCCCCTGCGGCGTAAAGACGACCAGGACCTGGTCCCTTCCCTGACCTTTCCCAGTCTGGGGAGCGTGACAGCCACACAGCAATCGTTCTGAGGTGGAAAGCTCCAGGGGCACTTGGCTGGGCTTGGAGGACACAGAGCAGCTAAGTGGGGACAGTGTGCAGAAGCAGCAAGCACAAAGCCATGGGGTCTCTAGGACAGGCTGGGTGGTAGGGGGTGGCTTCCAGGGAAGAGTGTAGGGTGGGGTGGCAGCTCTGGCCAGGCCTGGCCGGAGAGCACCAAGACCAGCTGCTGCCACTTGCGGTGACTGAGTGTGACCTTCCCGCTGTGCCACCACTCGCATGTGCCGCACTCCCGGGTCGTGCGTCCTCGTCTGCCCTCCTCCGTCTTTGGGGGTGGAGAAGGAGTTGTCGAAGGCTGTTTCTTTCTTTCTTTCTTTTAAAGTAAACCAAGCTAATCACTGCCTGAATGCCCACTCAGGTGTGTAGCAGCCCTACCAGCACATCCGTCTCCTGGCTAGCCTGGCCCCCCAGAGATGTATCTCTGAGCCCTGGGAGAGGCCTGCATACCAGTCTAAAAATAGGTAAGCAAAGGAACATAGACTCAGGATAAATGCTCTTACCAGGCCCCAGGCAAGTCAGCTGTATCAAGTTCAGGCTTCCTCCTGGCCAAGCCGCAGGGTCGTGAGAGACTTCCCATCTTGGCTTCTTGAGCTGGGAAAGGAGAGGAGGAGGTGGAGAGGCAGGATGTGGTGGACAGATTGTGTGCCGCAGGGAGGGCCCGCGGCTCCAGGCAAAAACCCTCCTACTGACTGTGAGCAGGGCTCCCCAGTTAAGCATGCACATGTGCATACACACACACACACTCACGCATACGCACGCGTGCACACGCACAGCCCTCAGACAACCCTTGCTGCAGTCTCCTTCAGTGGAACCTGGGATTGGGATAGTTCTCTTTTGGGGTGGCCAGCCGCTCTGGATGCATGGTTTCTAGGGTTTTCTGAGTATGTACAGCCAGCTGCAAGACCGCAAAGCACAATATTTACTCTGACATAAACTCTGGGTTCATGAACTATGCAACAAAACCCAGAAAGCAGCAACTTATCGGTGATAACTGTCAAATAACCTCGGCAAGCCCAGTCGTGCAGCCACCGTGGGAGTCCCTTTCCTGTCCCTATGCCCGTGTCTCCCTCCCTGTCCTTCTGTCTGTTCAGCCAGATCCTGGCAGGCGGGGCAGTTTTGTTCCAGAGCAGAAGGAGTTGGAATCAGAGTAAGTTCCAATCCTCATTCTGTTGGTTCCAGAACAGAAAAGACACTTTCCCTTTGTTTCCAACCTCTTTCCAGAGAGAGATATTTTTTTTGAAAGTTACTCTTAGGAAGATGTGACAACGTAGTCACCTCTGGATCCCGGGAAGCAGTCTGGGGGGCTCCCATTAGCAGCATAGATGAGCTGTTTTCCTAGTGTCTTAAATGTGAGCGCGCTGAGCACATTTCTGGGGAGTCACACGAGGGGACGACTTGTGTTTTGGGGTCTGACAAGGATCCTTAACAAAATACCTAATGCAGCCATTGTCAACAGTGGGGGGCTCATAAATTTCAAAACATTGAAATGTGTGAAGTTTGACCTTTCTTCTCACTCTTTCCTCACTCAGGAAGCATCTTCCTCTAAAGTAAGTTCTCCTATCTGGCTGTAGGGTAGGACCGATGAAAAAGGAAGGGAGATGGAATTATTATTTCCTGCATGACTCTTGGCTTCCAGGTCTAGAATGGCCAATGAAGGAGAATTCTAATCTGGGCAGGGCTCCTGAATCAGTTACAGGAAGCCCAGAGGTAGCACGGTATGTGGTTCAAACCAGCCTGAAGTCACATTGCCCGGGTTCCCTTGCTAGTTCTGTCGCCTATACGCGACACCGCTTTGGGAAAATTGCTTGATTTCTATGCAATTCGTTTCTTCTCTAAGACGGGGGCCCGAGTTACCTGCTGCTCAGGTTCACACGGCTGTAACGAACTAACACTCGGGCTCCTGGCAGATGCCGTCACAGAATAGTGCTCAGTGAACGCTAACTCCTCTTTCTACCGCTGTCGTCATTTGCAACTAACAGATCTGAAGACACTGCGCATTAACGAAACACCTTGACTCATTTGGAAAGATTGACCTGGCCTTGTAACCACTGTAACGAACTGTGACTTCTGCTGGTGTACATTTTTTGGAGGAAAAGGCACAAAGGGGAGTGTGGAAACGTGTTCCCAGGAGAGTGTGTGGTCTCCGAGAGCCGAGCACTGAGAGTCATTGCGCCCCGTAGAAAAACACTTTGTTCCCAGAAGGTACTTAACTCCCATTTGGATCATGTTCTTACTTGGACCTTCTCCTTTTTATTTGAGAGACTTCTTGCAGTTGATTTAGTTCAAAAGACCTGAAGTGCGGTGGAATAAATTTGCTTATGGTGATGGATGGGCATTTTGACAACCCAGAGCTTTGCTTCTAATGCATTTTTAGTAGCACTCAATATCACCAACCAATGAAATACCGCAGGACACCCTTCTGCGAGGTGCATATTTCTCTCTGGTTGCGGAGAGATTAGGTGGTCTATTTAAAACCGCCCAGAAAATGGGTGGCAGAAGGCTGAGATGCCATTAGGCCACACTTGAATGCAGAGGTAACAGGAAGGGGCTGGCTGTCCTCTGCCCACATGTCTTTAATTAGAAACAGAGGACGTCAGGACTTCTGACTCCACTGAGAAGCACAGTGAAACTTTATTAGCCCAATTAAAAATCCCTGTCACCAAAGTCTGTGCAACTGAACTTCTGGAGGGCAGATCTTGGGGTAAATATTTGTGCCGTGGCCCCTGGTGCTAATGGCGCTCGAGGTCCCTGGGGATCCCTGGAACAGCTGTGGGAAGAGGAGGGGGCGGTGGCCAGGCTCGGGCTGTGCCTTCCCCCAGGCTCGAAGGACAGTCCGAGTTTTTTTTTTATACCATCCTCCTGAGGAGGAAATTACACCATACAGTTTTCCCCAAGCCAGATGCAAAAACTAAAACCTTGAATCCAAACGTCCTCCCTCAAGTGAAAACATTCTGAGACCTCAGAAATGATCACTCACCAAACACTGTTTCCCTGACTTGTAATTTGGTCAGTTATCGCTGGTTTTAGAAAGGTTCTGGGTGGTCCCTTGTCCTCAGGGAACTCTGTAGGTTTCATGGTTTCGGTTTCCGGAGTTTTCTGCTTGCCTAGGAGTTCCAGGGAAACTGACCTTGCTGAGGAAGTCAGCTGCGGAAGGTAGCTCCACACCCAGGGAGGAAAAGCCTAATTAGGATTCCTCCCCTTCCTTAAACCCAGGAGTTGGCAGGAGCAGGCCTGGGTGGAGGTGGACACTTTCAAATTTGATCCCTCGCACACCTGCCTAAGAAGATGCTCAACTTAAAATTTCAAAACATTTTATAATGATCTGTACATTTTTTATAAGTGCCATTAGATCTCCTTCTGCCTCTTTCCGGTGTCAGAACTGCTAAGGTTCACCGTTCTCCCTCCCCGGGGACCCGGTCTGTGTTACTTGGGTGGTGTGAGCCTCTGGTTCCTGAATACCTTAATGCATTCCTCTAATTTGAAGTATGCAAACTAGGTTTCCTGCTTCACAACCGTCCCATGCAATTTGGTTGAAGAGCGGAGCACATTTCACAGCAAGAGGATGGGGACCATCCAAAGCGGATGGAAATTGCTCAAATGAACAATTTGCATTTACTGTCCTCCTGGGGGAAGGTAAATGCAGAAACATCTGCTGTGGAAGGTAAGGTCTCATCTCCGACTCCTCTAACTCTCTCAGTCCCCGTCCTGTGCAGCACAGCAGTCACAGGAGGGGTTTAACATGCCCACACGGGAAGCCTAGCGGATGGTCTGAGGTACCACACTGGGGACTGAGAGTGTGGAAGGGAAAACCAGGTCAGTTGGTGTGGAAACAAGGCGGAAGAAATTCGCGGTGACAATGGAATTGGCTGAGAGGTGTCAGCAATCACACCCGAGCAGTCCGGGGCTGTGCTCCAAGAGAGGAGGCCATGATCCTGCCTTCTGTAATAATGATAAACACAGAAAGCGTAGCCTGGGGCTATAAGTGCCCAGAAATCTTTTCATACCTTCCCGACCTGGCCAAGCACTTCCCTTTCCAAAGCGGGGAACAACTGTGTCCATGGAAATGAATCAAGCAGAGGACAGTTGAGATGCCAAGCGGAGAACCACCTCTCTGAGTCCGCAGATCCAGCCCTCGTTCTCTGACCTGGGGGAGCCTGTGTGGGTATCAGACACGTGTCCCCCTCACCGCAGCATGGAGATTGTGGGACCATCAGGCAACACCAGGTCCTAGTTCTCATTCAGTTAAGGCCGCTTTTTCATCAAGTGTCTCTCTCCAAAGTCAGTTTTCTTCTTTGCTTTCAGGGTTGTTGTTTTTTTCTGATTTCATTATTGTCCCAAGTTTAACATCAAGAGTGGCTGGAAGGGAATGAAGACAGTGTCTGCGCGTATGTGAAGCTGAACAGAGAGAAGTTGTCCCTTACGGATCACAGTGATACTCACCCACAGAAATGATTCTTCTAAATCCAAACCATTTTTATGGCATTCTTCAGCCTCCCAGGTCAGTGGATATAACTGTTTCAAAGTTGTTCAGCTGTGACCTTGATTCATCTCATTGTCTCTAACTAGGCCGCTCTTTAAGTGCGGTTGGGTTCTACTGGCCAAAGATCTTAGAAGTAAGTCCTGAGCTCAGACCCGTCACTCATCCCTCTTTCCTGCCCTTAAGGCGGGATCTTATCGTTGTTGGTCTTGGCACATTCTTACATCCTGCGTGTACGGGCCCCAGACGAAACCCCCGACTGTGACCAGCTGGGTGGATGTCACCAGGGAAAACCTCTCATCACACAAGTCACTTCCTCTCTCAGGCTGCAGCCCCCAGGCTGGGTCATCCAGGGGTAGGGAAAGTAGGCCAGTTTAGGCTGGAGAAGGAGATTGTGCAGCTTATTTAGATGTGTGTGTGTGTGTGTGTGTGTGTGTGTGTGTGTGTGTGATCCATTCTGAGACTGATACTACATCTTAGTTAAGGGAGACTTTGGAACTGTCTCTATTTCCCTTCTATTTCTGAAGGTCACATTGCTGTGATCGAAGCCACACAATTCACCAAAATTAACACTGATGATTTAGCTTTTCACATACAATTTCGTTTGCTAAGAATCAGCATATTTCTATTTTCTGTCTCCAGATATTGCCAATTATATGTGCCAGGGTTTGGATATAGCAGGGCCAAGCTTGGATGCCATCTGCACGCAGAGACATTCCTCACACGTCCTGCTCCGCAAGGTTGTTGCCTGAAATCCTTAGACAGAAAGTTTAGTTTAGTGTCACCGTCTGACATAAGGCCTCTATGCCAAATCGGTGGGACAAGGTGATCACTGAACATCTCCTGCGAAGGTGTCAGCAGAGTGTACAAATGCTTGTCTGAGGCTAAACTTTACAGGTAGTTGGTGGTGGGACAGGAAGGGTGGTTAAAAGTAGAAGGTCCGTGGGCCACTGAATGGATGAGGACGTCTGGAATTGCACAAAAAGAGACAAGCAGGGAAAATGAAGGCGCCTTCGCCCTCTCTGCAAGCTGCCCGGTCTATCCGTGGATGACGCAGTCATGGGAAGAGCAGGCCTGCGAGCCAAGCCCCTTGGTGGGGGAATGCTGTCTGTCTTCTCTCAGACAACACTGGCAGTGGCTCACTCTTTGGAGCTTCCTTGGCCACCAAGCCCAGCAGCACAGAAAGCTGGGTCTGTGTTCACTTTACTGTGTTCTGATGCACCGCAGAGCCAGGACTTGGTTGTGAGGTCCAGCC